TTTTATTTCTATTACTGTATGTCCCATGTTGCTTTTTCCTTGACAAGTCACAGCAAAGAAAATGGTGACTCCACTAGCAGTGGGTATAGCCTTTAATGTTAATGTGTTAACTTTGCCTCATATCAACCCAGAAACACTGACAAACATACACTTGCTCAGACTTTATTCATATCCTTCAAAGCCCAGTTCTTCTTGGCACTCCTTCGAGAGAAAGTGGCAAAGATATTCAAAAAGGTCGGAAGTGGTGATGCGGCAAAGAGAGTAGAGGGGCTCAGTGCTTCTTTTATGCTCCTGGGATGGACTAAGCCAGGGGTAGGCAACCTTTCCCCTTTAAGGGCCGAGGGACTTCAGCTCCCAGAAGCCTCAGCCATGTTGGCCAATAGTCCCATGTTGGCCAATAGCTCCTGGGATTCTGGGAGCTAAAGTCCCTCAGCCCTTAAAGGGGAAAGGTTGCCTACCCCTGGACTAAGCTCTCACTTTTCACCACTCCACTCAGAGAAAGGGATAGTTCCTTTTTTGATAGGAGGTAAATTACAGTAATTACATTGGCCCATTGATAAGTCTGCCTAGATTTTTTGGATCAATTTTTGATTAAAACTTCTAGACTTATATATGAGTATATACAGTATGCCTACACTAAATTGCAATCTTTTCCCACTTCTAACATTTTGGATTTTTTTCCAAATGCATCAGCTTGTTTAATGTTTTGAAGTTTAAAAAAAATGAAACAGTATTTCCACACATTTCTTTTAAAGATTTTTTTAAAAGCCCTCGAAGGTGATTTTGTAGTACTCAGAATGAACATTTACTTCAAGTCAGCACATTTGTTTAATAATCTCTGACTTTTCACTATATTATCTCAGAGCTACATGCAAATATTAGAGTGAATCTTTTACTTCACACAGAGAACATTTTACAGGTAGATCAAATGTCAGTCAAAAGTCTGGTACCAAAGATTTGTGCTGAAGGTCTGAGCAAGCAACTGTTCTAATGTGACACTCTTCCCTGAATCAAAATAGCTGAACTAACAATGTGCAAAAAAGTGCAAAGTGTCTGTCATCTATTTATCTAGCTATCTTTCCATTTGCAATATATTTTCATTTCATTTATGAAGTTTGTTCCCTCTCTCTAAAGTAGATTGGGATGAAAGAGAATAAGTGATCCAAGGATATCCCATCAGACCTCCATTTGAAGCAAGACAAAAAGTAAGCAGAGGTTAAAAAAAACTCAGGCCTTTGAGCTAAATTTGACTCAATTTTTCCCCTTGAACATCCACCCAATCTGGTCCCCTGGGCTTTTGTAGATGGTCATACCTCCTTTCACATGACACTACCATTTGTTATTTTCTAACTTTTGTATGGAATTTCTTCCTATTCTAAATGGTCAAAATGCCTCTCCTTAGCCTTAAGAGCTTATTGCATGGGGTAAAAAAGCCAGCTTACCTTTTCTGGCTTCAATTTTCTTCCGGGATTCAGCTGAGTACTATCACATGTAAATCTCCACTGAATCCACCAGCCAAATACAGTCCAGGTAAACCGCAGCTCCAAGCTGCACTCAGCCGGCCAATTTTCAAAGTTAGAAACTTCCATTTTTGAAAAAGGTCCAGCTGAGCACTGCTTGGAGCCATAGGGCCTTTGCAGACTGCCAGAAATAGTGCACATTAAATTGAGGCACTGCCCTGGCTCAGTGCTAGGGAATCATGGGAATTGTAATTTATTGTGGCACAAGAGCTCTCTGGCAGAGAAGGCTCAATGTCTCAGAAAAAAATGCAATTCCCATGATTCCCTAGCACTGAGCCACGGTAGTGCCTCAATTTAATGTGCACTATTTCTGACAGTCAGCAAAGCCCCATAGTTTACCCAGGCTGTATTTGGCCAGCACATTCAGTGGTGATTTATATATGATAGTACCTGGCTGCATCCCAGAAGAGAATTGAAGCTGGAAAAGGTAAGCTGGCTTTTTACCCCATGCGATAAACTCCATAGTATTGTATTATTATATTTACTCTCCACTTTTTCCACAAAGCTGGGCTTCAAAGAGACAAAAAGCTGTAAAGCACAAATATGTTGATATTTTCTTTCTTTTTTCTTTTTACCTCCATCACTGGAATGTGGCCTATGAGACCTTATCTGAAATAGAGTGAAATCCGCAGAATTAAGTGGTGGGTTTTAATAATGAGTGGGCAACACTGGGTTCAGGGATTAAAGACAATGCGGAATGAGGGAGACAGAAAATGGGAGCCTGTCAAGCTTAATCCAGGAACTCAATATATTTTTAAGTCTAGTCAAAGCCTCCACATCAGACCTTTCTTCAGGAGTGTTTGTTTATGAAAGCTGAAATTTGTCAAGCTTTTCAGCAAGGTTGGCAGTATGATTTAGGTTTCTAACTCTGTTTTTAAAATGAAAAACTATTTAATCCGTTTTTAATCTTTTAAACTTTTGTAATTATTTCTTGCTTTAAGTTCATTTTATTGGAAGATACTCTTACATGATAAGATAAGAGGCAGGATATAAATATTGTAAGAAATAAATAAATACAAACTGAAGTAGTTTGAGGAAGCAAATGAAAATGAAAAATGTGTGGCAAGACTAAAGATCTACCAGCTTTGTGGTTGCTTTGTGCTTTGAAAATGGGTTTGCTAATATCCGAGATAAGAGAAATATTGTTACCAGGGCACTGTATAGTGTGGGTGGGTGAGTGGAGGAAATACTAGCAACTCCATTGTGAAAGCAGACAACAGCCATGATACCAGCACAGCTTCACTCTTAATGTGACAAATGGACAGAAGGGGTGTGGGGGGGGGGAGCCCACAGACCACCTTCTTGGAACAAACTCTTTGAACCTCCAGCCAAATAATCACAAACTTTCCTAAAACACGGAAGCTGCCTCCCACTGCCTAATGTTTGGTTCAACTCTAATATTTTAATTTTTGGAAGAGCCATCACACACAAAACCATTTGTGACAGATCCCTTTACCCAGGCTGCTCCAAAACTCCAGCCCATAAGAATCCTGCCACTCACCCTTTCCCCCACAAGTCTTTCCTTGCTGGGTTAGGTTACTGAGCGTTATAAATATGGACTTGAGGTTGTGTTGTATGGGTTCTTTTGTTTCAGTTGAGACTTTTGAAGATTCTCTCCAGCCATGCATATAGCTGTTCTAAATTATATTTGCAGATTTTCTATGTAGCTGATATGCAGAACCACTTTTGGTGGTTGATCTGCTTCTCCTTCCTAAACTTGTTTGACAGATTCCAAAGGTCCTTGCACCTTTCTTCCATACAATATCTCATAGGGACTAAATCCTAAACTTTCTTGTGGCACCTCTTGATAAGCAAACAATAGATGGTGTAGTTTCATGTCCCAATCATTCTGATTATCAGCTGATTTTAACATTTTACTCACTGTTCCATTGAATCTCTCTGTTAACCCAGTTACCTCAGGATGGTAAAGTGTAAAGGGGAGATGCTTATGCTACACACTTCCCACAGTCTCTTCATAAATGTTGAAGTAAAGATGTTCTCAAATCAGAGACAACTTCTACAAAAGAGATTCACCAAAACATCAACCACAGTTGCTGTTTCAATGTTTGATAAAGCAACAGCTTTTGGGAACCTGGTAGCATAATCAACTGAAGTTACAATGCATTTGCTCCCTTTTCTAGTTACTTTAGATCAGGGGCCGGCAACCTACGGCACCCGGGCCAGTTCCGGCCCAGGGCCCCGCGCTTACCAGCCTAGGCGGACCCCAGCAGCCACCGCCACCTGCCACCACCGCTCCGTGACTGCCATTTTGATTTCCAAAATGGCGGCTGTGACACGTTTGCGCATGCACAGGAGTACTGCTCATGTGCAAACGCATCGCGACCGCCATTTTGGAGAACAAAATGGCAGTCGTGGCATGAGCGGAGGAAGCGGCGGCAGCAGCGTGCGTAGGGGGTCGCACGCGGTGGCAGGGGTTGCGAGCCGCGTGTGAGCACACGCGCCGCCATTCCCCCCCCCCGGGCTCGCCAGAAGGGACAACTTCGGGGGATCGGCCCCCGGCTCAAAAAGGTTGCCTACCCCTGCTTTAGATAATGGCCCTGTAATGTCAATGCCTACTGTTTCAAATACTTCTCCAATTATAGCCATAGGATGAAGTTTAGCTTTTGTTTCATCACTTCCGTTCCCAATATGCTGACAGGTAGCACACCATTACACCTAACATAACTGTAAACTTATATATTCAGTGCACTTTGGTTAAAAAAAAGTTTTCCACTCAAAACATTTTGCATATCTGTGGAACTCTTTGTTGTTATACTCCACAAGAGATTAGGCTCTGGCCTCTAGCCAGTTGGTCTGAGCTAGCACTAATATAATTCACAACTGGGAGAGGAGAATCAATTAATCAATACTATAATTTGGAACTGACCATGACACTAACACTCTCAGCTATTAGATTTCCTGACTGACACCATTTAGGATTAATGAG